TGACATTTGAAAAGTGAGGCATGTATATTTGTTTATATGTCCTAGCTAATGTAATTCATGAACTAAAAGGACTACACAATTAGGGTTCTTAGTTTACGCAAGAATCTACGCAAAAACAATACTAAGACATGATAATCTGATAAGGATACTATAACAACTAATTCACAACAATTTTACAAGGTTTGAGAAATCCTAGGTCTGAACATCATATTGAGAATCAAGAATTTGACTGAATTATAGGGACCCAATGGGTGAAAGGAACCTACTAGTGAAATCCCACATACCTGGTGATGAAATTCACAGAGAAATCTTTCAATTTCGGCGCTGGAATTGAAGAAAATCTTGCTGCATTTTTTTGAAGGGTTGCTCGACTTTCTCCCTCTGTTTTTCTCTAAGATCAATGAGTTTTTGGTAAATGATCGATTACGGTAAGTTCTAATTAAGTCACTAGGCAAAAATTGACCAAAACTACGTAGTTTAGTGGTTAAACGACATAGTTTAGGCGTCCAACGCATAGGGAAAAGACCAAACGACTCCTGACTTAAAAGTCTGACGCAGCTGACCACGGCCCCTCTGATGGATCATCAAAGGGACCACGGACCATCACACAAGTCGTGGTCCTTTGTCCAGTAGCTGCTGGTTTCTGGGACATGCTTCCACAGGCGCCACCACGGTCCGTCGTCAGGACCACTGCCCGTGAAGGGTCCCGTGGTCTGACGTCTGGGCTTGGTGGATTCTACCTGGCTCCCATGAGCATCAGTATGGTGTGTGAGGTGGTCCACGGCCCATGGAGGGATCTGTGGTCCACCTGTGATGGAAAGGTATTGAGTTCACGAGTAGGTCAACGAATCGTGGTCCCTCTCATGGTCTGTGAACCCTATAGTGGTTCACTGGTTCTGATGTTTTTCTTCTGCATTTTCTAAGTTTGATTTCTGAGGTGTTACAATATCTCCCCCTTGGGAACATTCATCCTCGAATGAATTCTAAACTAGCTGGATATGGAGGGAAAGACCTACAAATCCTACCACTAATTACTAGAAACTGATTTCTAACTAAACTAAGTTCCAAGAACATGCAAATACGCTGAAAATGCAAGTATAAACTGAAGGAACATGATACTAAGACTGAATCTATGTATGAGTAACTGAAAGACTAGAGAGAAACTATTACCTAAAGCTGGAATGGAATCGGAAGAAAGAGCTGAGGATACTTGGCCTTCATGGCTGCTTCTGCTTCCCAAGTAGCTCCCTCTACGGACTGACTCCTCCACAAAACCTTAACTGAAAAGCGACTTCTTTGTTTCTCAGCCTTCGAACCTGACAATCAAGAATCTCAACTGGCACATCCTCATGAGTGAGACTATCATTTACAGCTGCACTTTCCAATGGTACTATAGATATTGGATCACCCTCACACTTTTTCAACAACGAGATATGAAAGACCAAATGCACTGCTGCTAGTTTTGCTGACAACTCTAACTCATAAGCCAATTTACCAACTTTTTTCAAGATCTTGTAAGGGCCTACATATCAAGGACTGAGCTTCCCTTTTTTACCAAATCTCATCACCCCCTTCATAGGTGAAACTTTAAGGAAAACCCAATCATCAAATTGACACTCCAAGTCCCTTCTCCTTACATCTGCATAGGACTTCTGGCAACTCTGAGTTGTCTTAAGTCTATCTCTAATGAGCTAAAATTTTTACATGGCATCATGAACCGAATCTGGTCCTATCAAGGCTTTTCCACCTACTTCAAACCAACCAACTGTAGATCTACATCTACGCCCATTGAATGCCTCATAAGGGGCCATCTGAATGCTAGAATGGTAACTATTATTGTAGGCGAACTCTATAAGAGGAAGGTGATCATTCCAACTACCCTTGAAATCGATCACGCAAGCTCTCAACATGTCCTCTAAGATCTGAATGGTACGCTCTGCCTCACCATCCATTTGTGGATTAAATGATGTGCTAAGATTAACCTAAGTACCAAGACCTTTCTTAAATGACTTCCAGAAATGAGAGGTAAACTGGGGACCTCTATCTGAGATGATAGAGAAAGAAACCCCATGCAACCTGACTATCTCATTAATGTAAGGCTTAGCATAGACCTCCACCAAATTTATAGTCTTGACAACCAAAAAGTGTGCGGACTAAGTAACTATGTCAACTATCACCCAAATGGAGACATGTTGTCTGCAAGTAAGAGCCTGTGATGAAGTCCATGTTGATCACTTCCCACTTCCATGTAGGAATGTTAATATCTTGGTTCATACCTCCTGGTTTCTAATGTTCTACATTCACTTGCTGGCAATTAGAGCACTTAGCCACAAAATCTGCTATATCATTTTTCATGCCATTCCACCAAAAACTTCCCATATATCACGGTACATTATAGTGGCACCTAGATGAATAGAATACCTGGAGTTATGGGCTTCTGCAAGAATCTGCTGTCTCAACTCACCCACCTTAGGAACACATAATCGACCCCGAAGCACACCATCTCCCCCTTGGGAAAAAACCTCAACTCTCTGCTGATGAACTGCACCCTTCACTTGAAGAAATATCGGATCACTATCTTGTTTTTCCTTAACTTCTGCTACCAATGAAGATTCTGACCCATTCTGAACCGTTGCACCACTATTTGATATGCTCATAACGCGAACTCCAAAGCGAGCAAGCATGTGAACATCCTTTGCTAGTTCATTTCTTTCTTCTTCAATATGTACTACACTACCCATAGATAGTCTACTAATAGTGTTTCCTACTACATTGGCCTTACCAGGATGGTAAAGCATATTCATATCATAGTCTTTGAGGAACTCAAGTCATCTCCTCTAACAAAAATTCAACTCTTTCTGGGTGAACACATACTGAAGGCGCTTATGGTCTGTGAACACATCTACGTGAACACCATACAAGTAATGTCTCTAAATCTTAAGTGCAAACACCACTGCTGCAAACTCGAGGTCATGAGTCGGATAGTTCTTCTCATTCACCTTAAGTTGTCTAGAATCATAGGTTATAACCTTACCTCGCTACATCAACACACAACCTAGGCCGACTCTGGAGACATCACAATAGATAACATAACCATTTGAACCCTCTGGTAGAGTCAAAACAAGAGTTGTAGTCAACCTAGTTTTTAGTTTTGAGAAGATCTTCTCACGCTCGTCTGACCAATAAAACTTAACCTTTTTCTGAGTCAACTTAGTCAATGGAGAAGCTATGAATGAAAATTCTTCCATAAACCTTCATTAATAACCAGCCAAACCCAAGAAACTTCTGATATTTGTAGGAGAGGTTGGTCTGGGCCATTGTTTCACTGCTTCTATTTTTTGAGAATCCACTCAGATTCCTTTGCTAGACACAATATGCCCAAGGAAAGCAACATATTTCAACCAAAACTCATATTTTCTAAACTTAGCGAATAATTGGAGATCTTTAAGAGTTTGCAGGACAACCCTCAAATGAGTCGCATGTTCTTCTTCATTCCTAGAGTAAATGAGGATATCATCAATAAAGATGATAACGAACAAGTCCAAATACTGCTTGAGCACCCTGTTCATCAAATCCATGAAAGTTGTTGGATCATTGGTTAGTCTAAATGAAATAACTACAAATTCATAATGACCATACCGAGTTGTGAAGGATGTTTTTGGAATGTCACTATCTCTGACTCTGAGTTGATGATAACTGGAACTGAGGTCTATCTTCGAAAAAAGACTAGCATCCTGAAGTTGGGTGTACAAATCATCAATCCTGGGGATAGGGAACTAATTCTTGATTGTGACTTTGTTCAACTGTCTATAACCAATGCACATCCTGAGAGAACCATGTTTCTTTTTCATGAACAACTTTGCTGCACCCCATAGGGAAATACTAGGTATAATGAAGCCCTTATCTAGAAGGTCTTTCAACTGCTCTTTCAATTCCTTAAGCTCAACTGGAGCCATTTTGTAAGAAGGAATAGAAATAGGTTGGGTGAGATCAATTCCAAATTCGATTTCCCTTTCTGGAGGAACTGCGGGAAGATCTTCTGGAAAGACTTCTAAGAACTCATTAACTACTGGAACTGACTCAAGAGTTGGGGTTTCGGAGCTTGAATCCTTAACCCAAACTAGATGATAGAGATACCCCTTAGAGATCATCTTTCTGGCCTTAAGGTAAGAAATGAATCGACCCATAGGCGCTAAGCTAGCACCCTTTCATTCTAAGACTGGTTCTCTTGGAAACTAAAAATGAACGATCCTAGTTCTACAATCGACTGAGGTATAACAAGAATGTAACCAATCCATGCCTAAAATGATATCAAAGTCTACCATTTCAAATTCTACAAGATTTGCTGAGATAACTTTCTAAAAGACTATGATAGAGCAATTTATGTATACCCGTCAAGCTATAACTGGGTCACCGACTGGAGTAGAGACTAAGAAGGGTTCTAAGAGAATTTTGGGACTGACACTGAAATTGACTGTTATGTAAGGAGTGACAAAGGAAAGAGTAGCCCTTGGATCAAACAAAGCATATACATCTAAGTTAAAGACTCGTAATGTACCAGTGACCACATCAGGAAAATCTTCCTGATCCTGGCGAGCCTGAAGAACATACAACCTGCTTTGGTGCTAACCGCCACCTGAACTAGATGAGCTATCCTACAGAGTCGGGCGACCTGCTGGTGCTGCTGAAGTTGTAGATTAAGCATTACCATTATTTCCTACTTGACCCTGTTTAGAAGAAGGACAATCTCTCAACATGTGACCAAACTTACCACACCCAAAACATCCTTCCTCTCCTGAAAGACACTCGCCCGGATGGTTCTTACCACACTTTGGACAAGTTGGGTAGGTTCTGGTGTCTGAAACACTCCCCTAAGACTTAAAGCCTGATGCCCTACCTTTCTGATCCTGTTGAAACCTGAAAGATGGAACATTAGCTGATGGAGGTGCTGGAGCTGAAGATTTCTGCTAAACCTGTGAGCAATTTCCACCACCCGATTTCTAATGAGAATACTCATAGTTTCCTGTCCTAGTCTTTTTGTTCTTCCTAGCATGTTCCCTAAGCTTATCTCCTTCAACCTGCTGAGAATGAGTCATGAGCCTATAGATATGCATATCTTCCAGCAACATAGCATTTCGGAACTCAATTTTCACTAAGTCGGATACCCCATACAGAACCTTGTTCATTTGTGCCCTTAGATCAGCAACCATGTGAGGAGCATACCTAGAGAGTTGGGGGAACTTGAGTCCGTACTTTGGACTGACATGCTACATTGCCTCAAATTCATGAACTCCTAAGCTTTTGCCTCCCTCAACTCTCTTGGGAAGAACCTGCCCAGAAAAGTCTCAGTAAAACACTCACAAGTGATAGGAACTACATTCGTACCCCTTTTTTCTTTCCATTAAGTAAACCAGATGTGAGCTACATCCTTAAGCTGGTAGGATGCCAACTCTACCCTATCATTACAAGTCACTTGCATCACTCCAAAGATTTTCTTGACCTCATCAATGAAGTTCTGTGGATCCTCACCAACGTGCAACCCTAGAAACCCAGGTGGATTCATCCTTAATAAATCTCGAACTCTAGTTGCAGCTGACCCAACATTAGTGTTAGTAGGAACTGGGGCATGTTGATTGTTCTGGTTGGTCACACTCTGAGTCAAAAGTTGAATGACATTTTGAAACTCACCATTCGAAACTTCCTGATCTGGGACTGGAGGAGTTGCGTTAGTGTTGTGGGCATTAGCATTCCTTTCATAAGAACTACAAGCAGGCATGATCTGAGAACGCATAACGATTGATTAGAAAGAGATATCATACCAACGCACAATAAGAATACCAAGAAAGTGAAGTTTTCCTAAAACACTTCATAGCCTCCCTCTCATTAAATGTGGTGCACTTCACACCCATGAAAAGGACTCTACTTAGTGCGGACTTTCAGACATCCTAGGACACTTAAACCTAATGCTTTGATACCAAGTTTTTCACACCCCAAAGCTATCCTTAGGGCGTAAAAAGGGACCTAGGATCACGAGTGACCCCAAGCTAACCCTGAGCTAGAATATCATAAGCGTACTACATAAACTGAAGTAAGACAGTACTGTGCGGAAGCTTAAATCATCATATGGCTGAAATGATGGAGAATACCCATTACTATTTAAATAAATAATCTGTGAGTTTAATGACAATTGAAATATCAAATTCTAAAGCTAAAACTGAATCTAACTGTGTCTGAAATAAAACGTCCAACTAACTAGAGATGTTGGGACATGCCCAGCTAAATCTAGCAAAACTTAAACTAAAGACGGAAAGTAAAAGAAACATGTATGTCGTCCTCGGAGAATGAGGACTCACCAATGATACTATTGAGCTGAATATTGGGAACCGATCTATGTGTGATCTAAATGCTGAGGACTTGAACCTACATCACGAGAAGATGTAGTGCAGAGTATGCCTTAGTACTTGAAAGGTATTGAGCATGCATGATAGAATAAAGTTGAACAATATACATAACTGAACAAAGCATAAAACTGAGCAATGATATAAGATGAGCATGATACTATACTGAAAATACTGAACATGAACTAACTGAATGAAATGATCAAGTTTATACATGTTGAAGCTGAATATTGAACTTTAAATAGTAACCTGGTCAATGCACTAGAATTTGATTGTGGGAGCTACTAACAATATAAACAATATAAACAGGCGAAAGCAAACCAGAAACATATATACAAATAAAGATTCCTCCCAGAACCTGGAAGTCACTAGTACAGAGCTACTAACAAAATGAGTACAAGTCCCAAAAGTGGACAACAGAGACTAGACTGTCTCGAAAGGAAAAAGACAAGTCTATATATACAGATGGAGACTGAAATAGTACAAAACACCGTGTGCTCACCCCCGTCTCCGGATCAGACTGCTCCAAGCTCGATCAATGCTGGCTACTAGTGCCCGGACCTGCATCACGAAACAGATGCAGAGTGTAGCATGAGTACCAAAACAACAGGTACCCAGTAGGCATCATAAGCCGACTGAACTTGAAAAGTAAAGGCAATATGAAAAGAAGGAATACTCAAATCGAGGTCAAGAACAAAAATCTAACTAACAAAGGAATGCACACGAGTGTACAAAGAACTAACTAAAGTAATCTATAAGCTAACTACACCTAACTGGACCCCCATAAGCCCAGAAGGTACAATCGTGTGCAAGTTAAATAAAAACCCGAACGGACCTCCCTAAGCCCGACGAGTACACAGAATAACTAAAACTAAAGAGAATTGCATATAAGAACCCAAGAACGGAGAACATCGAACCAGAATCTCAACCCTAATTAGTAGAATCTGACAGTACGAAGGCCGGACCTCGAACCGGATGCTGAGCAGAAGTACCCAAGTAACCAATCACAAGTATCAAGTATATGAGACCGGAACTCTAACCGGATGCTCTATATAAGTATCTGGGCAATAGAGGCCGGAACTCTAACTGCATGCTCTATATAAGTATCTGGGCAATAGAGGCCGGAACTCAAATCGGATGCTCTATATAAGTATCTGGGCAATAGAGGCCGGAACTCTAACCGGATGCTCTATAAAGGTGCCACTGTAGCTACTGAAAGAGTCCCAATCGATCTATTCTCATAAATGTCTGTGGATCCATCCACACCTAGCCAATCAATGTAAGTCCTTGGAACCAAATCGAAAATCAAATTCAAATCACGAAGTAGAACTAGTGTCGCCGATGTAACTCGTGAAACCGTAACGTCGGGGAAAATAAGGATAACTATAGTCGGAGAAAGAGTATCGCCTAACTAAGGCCCAAACTATCAGACTCAAGTCTGCTACACCAGTCTACAGGGATCTAAGCCGGCCGAGCGACGTCAGAGCAAAACTAAGGCCTATTGGATCCGAATAATGTATTTCTAAGGCAAGCCCTAGTCAAACCTAAACTAAGGCCCAACATTCTTCAAGTAAACAATAATTAAGCATGCAAGCACTCCACATAGCGAGGAGGGTCCGTTAATAACACAAAGCATGCTCACATTTACCCGATAATTCTCGAAATAGGTCGAAAACATGATTTCCAAACACCTATGCATGATTCAATCACTACCAACCCAAATCCTAACTAATCAACATGCATTCACACTCTCAAGCTCAATCTAAGAGAGGGAAACCGTAGCCTACTTGTAGGCCGCTCACATGCGCTCCAAAATCACTCCTTCGGAGCTTTCCCTTTCCGAACGGTCTCGAAACGCTGCTCCGCTATCAAAAATAGAGTCACAACGTTATTACGGTCGTTTAGACACCCAAATCACAATAAACGGAGACGGGTCAATTTTAGAGTCAAAATGGGAATCGTGGGACCCGCGCAGGAAATTCTGAAATTAACCCCACAAGTGGGTCCTAACCAGTTCCCCCAGCTCATGTCCCAAAATGGGACACAATTCGGGGCTCGGGAACAACACAATATCAACATGCAACTAAAACCCAAATTTTCTCAAAAACTAGAAATGGGACAGCAGTTGAATCAGTGTATTTACCAAAAACGGGCGATCTACAGTAAAATCTGACAATACCACAATGTTCTCCTCGAAAAACCACTCAACATAGCCTCAAAAATCACAGAAATCGGACCTAAAATGGCTGAGAAAACAAGTCTCAAAAATTTCCAAAATTAAGCTCACAAAAAGGGTTCGGTAACAGGTATTTTTCGATAATAACCTCAAACGGGGACTCCAAATCACTATCCGAGCTCACCAACGTGTTTTCCTCAACAAATCGCACAACTTTGCCTTTTGAATCGCCCAAATCGGTTGAGAGATAAGAGAGTTATGAGGGTTTGAAGTTTGGGAAATGTTGCTGGTTTTTCTGCAATAAATAGCAGATTTTCTGCAACTTTTTATTCAAAATTAGAAACTCCGACGGGATGCTCCGATCTCGTTCGGAACCCCGTGTATGCAAATGAAATATGCAACCATACCAAATTCGACATTCCAGACTCAACGGCGCAGTCAAAATTTCCATCAGAGGTCATTTCGATAAAAAGTGGGTCCCACTTCCAAAAGACATTTTAAGTCAAAACCCACAAAAGGGCTCGGAAAGATATCGAAAACCTCCAGACACAAAAGAAAGGTCAATCTAGACCAAACTTGACATTCCGAAGCTAACCACGCTGACGGAATTCTCATTCGAGCACGTTTAATCAGAATGTTGACCAAAGTCAAACCTAGGCTTAAACTTAAAGTTAAAACGCCTAATCGCACCGACTCACATTGAAAACCTCGGGAGTCATGACGACTATGCTACTAGCCTAAAATGACCCTTCTGGAGCTGATGGAATCGTCAGAATTGGGTTCCGATGTCATCTTCTTGAACTTTTGATCCAAAATGATCGTTCAAGGTTCATAAGCTCCAAAACACAAAAACTCGCACCAAGACCAAACGAACGACCAGGTAACCGAACTATCAGTCTCAGCAAGTCATAAATGACTTGGGATCGCTATAGAAATGCTCTAAACAACACACAGAAGGCAAGACACAGAAATGACCAAGAGGGTCATTACATAACTATTGTAGTAATTAATACTTTTGGGATTTTTGATTCTACCAAAGTACTAGTAACATTATTACCTATGAAACTTTCTATTGCTTTAATTACTCTGATAATTTTTTTGGCATATCAAAAAAGTAGTGACGTTATTAATTTTGATAGTTGATGGAATTCTAAAACCGTGATTGATCATTTTATTGATAGTTGAAAATGACAATGTGTCATGAATGAAAATATTGGGGTATTTTTCTACATTTTAGTGAAGATTCTCATGATCAACTCCGGCGATTTCTAATTGTTTATTCATCTCAAATGTCTTATTGAAAAGTAATTTTTTTGTGGGCCTAATATAGAAGTGTTCGGTACAATGGTAGAACTTTAAATTTGAATATAGACTATTCAATTTATCCGTCATGTTTATTTATTGAACAATATAGTTAAAAGGAACAATCCTATGTACTAAGTGTCCTCTATGTGTGAGGTCCGGAGAATAGAGGATCACAAAAATCAATTTTACGCAATTTATTTTGTATTTTTTTGAAAGAGAGTATTTTCAAAACTCGAACTTGTGATCTTTAATCACATAGAAACAACTTTACCAGTTATGTCAAGGCTTCCTTAAATTGAGTCAACTTGTCTTTTATACTTTTTGTTGTTGATTAGTTTAGAGCGGGACGGACCATTACAGGAAAGAAAAGATTTTCCCACCGTAAATTAGTGAGAAATTTGTGTTATAAAACATAGTTTTTTTCCCACAAATTTCCCTCTATAAATCGCTCACTAACAAAATTCATGCGGGAAAAGACATTCTCAATGAAATATTGCTAACCTTTCTAATTTTTCATGTAGAAATATTATTATTTTTTATTTTTCCACTGTTTGAATCAAAATATGTGTGGAAATATCCATGGAATAATTTTTAGTGAAATGTTTTTATGGAAAAATAGTGATAATATAATAGTGGACACATTCATTTTTTTATTTAAAGTCTACAATAGTTCATTTGTTGAGAAAATGTTTGTTCATATAATTCGCATCATATTGACTTATTCCCATTTTAATCTTTTAGGTCCTGCCTTGTTTTTTTGAAAAAAAGCATTATTTAACAGTGAGTATAAGTTTATGTTGGATTAGAAAAATGCATGAACTTCATTTCTCATTTTAGATTAACTGAGGATAAAATAATTTAGCTCTTTTCAGATCATCATATATGGTGAGGTAGATTGATTACTAAAAAAGT